TCTAACCATGTTCCAACTTTAGCCTCCGAGATCAAAGTTGGAACCTGTGGCTTGGAGCCAATTTGCTCCTGTGGACACGTTCCAACTTTCCGGCTTCCACCATATTTGGAGGGCAGCGGCAAAGGACCCGAACAACACAAAACAGGCTGCACGGGGGGCGTTTTGGGCTCCGGGCTGTTTGGCCGGACCGGACTGTGGACAGCGCTCGTATGAAGCCCGCACAGCTCGGGCCAGACACTCGGACACCACACAGGCCCGGACACTCCGGGCTGAATGGGTGTTCGTCCGGCTGTTCGGACTGTCTCAGCGTCGGGCTGTCCGGGTTTGGGTCGTCCAATTTTAGGGCGTTTTGGGCTCCTGGCTGCGTTGCCGGACTCTGATCTGTTTCGGGCTGCGCTGTGCGAGTGGGCGTGTCCGGGCTGTTGCCCGGGCTGATGGGCTGATCTTCGTGACTGTCCGGGCTTCATATGGGCTTGTACGGGCTGTTGTCCGGGCTGAGTCGTGACTGCTCGGGCTTTCTGTGACCTCGTCCGGACTGCTGTCCGGGCTGATCGTCGTGACTGTCCGGGCTTCCTGTGGGCTTGTCCGGGCTGTCCGGGCTGTTGCCCGGGCTGATCTTCGTGACTGTCCGGGCTTCATATGGGCTTGTACGGGCTGTTGTCCGGGCTGATCGTCGTGACTGTCCGGGCTTCCTGTGGGCTTGTCCGGACTGTTGTCCGGGCTGGTCGTCGTGACTGTCCGGGCTTCCTCTGGGCTTGTCCGGGCTGTCCGGGCTGTTGCCCGGGCTGATCTTCGTGACTGTCCGGGCTTCATATGGGCTTGTACGGGCTGTTGTCCGGGCTGATCGTCGTGACTGTCCGGGCTTCCTGTGGGCTTGTCTGGACTGTTGTCCGGGCTGATCGTCGTGACTGTCCGGGCTTCCTCTGGGCTTGTCCGGGCTGTCCGGGCGTGACTGACAGGGCTTCATATGGGCTTGTACGGGCTGTTGTCCGAGCTGATCGTCGTGACTGTCCGGGCTTCCTGTGGGCTTGTCCGGGCTGTCCGGGCTGCTGATCATCGTCGCTGTCCGGGCTGCCTGTGGGGTTGTCCGGGCTGATCGGGCCTCCTGTCACGCTATCGTCGTCACTGCCCGGCCTTCCTGTGACCTTGTCCGGGCTACTGATCGTCGTCACTGTCCGGATCATTGTCCGGGTTTGCTGTGGGCTTTTCCGGGCTGCCGATCATCGCAGCTGTAGCTGTCCGGGCTTCCTCTGGCTTGTCCGGGCTGTCCGGGCCGTCTTGGTCCAAGCAATTCAGAATGGTGGGCGTGAGCGGGGGGAGGGGGTCCGGGGGGGGGGGCAGGGCCTGGTTGGGGGGGGGGCAGGGTCGATGGGAATGGGGGGGGGCAGAAGTGATGGTGCAACCCATACAGGTACGCCCTGGTCGTACCGTAGATAGTACCTTGACCGATCTGATTGACTTCTTTAAGGTGGGGGGAGGGGGGGGACCAAAGCAGGGAGGCGCGGGCCCCCTAACCCTGTAGAATACCTTGGTGGGGGGTCCCTTGGCTCTTAATCAATCATCTGTCAGGTGGTGTGGGGTGGTTTGGGACCCCGCGCACCCCTTGGCCTGGTTCTCTGCTGTGTAAGTCCCGCAAGCTCCACAGAGCATCACAGAGCTAGATTTCGTGATAGCTGCACTCCACTTCCTAATTATTTCTGAATTCCAACGACCTGCTCACACTAGTATCTCCGTGTTTGTTGAATCGGGCTTGGGCAAGCGATAAGACTCAGATAATCTGAGTCTACATATGAAACACATGGATAGAACTCGTTTTGCCTAAGGTTTCGGTGAGGTTCGGATACCTTGGTGGGCCTTGACTGCTTGCGGCCCGTGTTTTCATCAACATGCTGATGTGATTCTTCTTACGGTCTGGCGGCCATGGGATGCCCTGCCACAACACTCAGCTACGTTGTTCTTCCTCAAGTGCTTGTCAACGGGGTTGCAATTCGCTGCCGAACTGCTGCCCAACTAGCTGAAGATGGTTCACGGGCGAATTGATACTTGAAGACTTCCAGCCTCATGCAGCGGCGAGTTGCCACCTGACCAAGCACCAACTGCCCCGAAATGGTCAATACTGACTCACGGCTGTCTTAGCACCAAGCAAATGTCGGCAGCATTCACTGCGGCTGCGTTCTGCAACAGAACCTGAGGTTTGCAACGGGGCCCTTCTCGCAGTATCCTGTGCCCCTTCTGCTGTCTAATCTGTTTCGTGGGCCTCGACCACGGCCTCCTGGCCCCAGGTGCAAGCGACATGGAGCGCTGTCTTCCCATTGCGGCTCGCAGCATCAACGGGCACCCGCGCCCTGCCGCACAAAATGTGATTCGCTCAGCTCGCTTAACCGAATCCGTGTCGTTGTCGTACGCCATATGGAGATCTCAATAAGGGCGACTCCTCCATCACTCGGCCCGCGCCTTAGCAGCTCCTGAGCCACTGCAACGTGGCCGTTCCGCGCAGCTTCGTGCAAGGGCAGGTCTCCCTCCTGACAGCATGCAAAAGCTTGTGGCATAGCCTGGCTGTCTCCCTGCCTCTACCATCACCGTTTTCACTCAACGTCACAAACATGGCAGCAGAAGCAGCACCACCATAAGCACCATGGTTTGCAAAACGGTGACATGTTGCACATGTCACAGGTCCTTGTCAGCCGCAGCGGGCCGTGCACCCTGACCCATGAGTTGCTGCACGGCCTGGTGGCCGCGGCTTTGCAGAGCATCAGCGCGTCGAGAACGGGGCTTCTTCGGCCTCAAGCTGCCCTCGCCTCGCAGCCAGGTGAAGAGCCTCGGTTTGACAAAAGCGCCGAAAAGCCTCACCGAAAGTCCTCAGCGGCTCTCCACAAGACATCCCTCGGCAGCTGGCCGTCTTGTCATCCGCACCCTTCTCATCAGCCGCAGCCCTGGCTCCGTTTCTACAGTCGCTGCGAGAAACTGCTACTATACACCGAACTCCCTGTGAAATCTGAAACATGTGCTAAGCTGCTAAGTGCCATCGCACGTCTTGACTCGACACCCGGTCGCCAGTGCATATAACGCATTTATCAGTGAGACTGTTGCTGCTCCTGAGAAGAAGATTTGCAACTGCTTACAGCTGACAGGTCCGATTGACGCTGTCGCAGAGATGCTTCGATACTTCACTTCATGCAATTTGGCCTGGCCTCTTGGTCAGGAGCAACTGAGCAATGCGAGTGTGTGCAACCTGGCCCATGTACCTGTTGCAGCTGGCAGGCTGGAAGAGCCAGTCCTAACTTTCAGGTACCATTCACATCGTCCGAATCCTCAGAGGCAAGTTCATGAACTGACAACATGAAAGGACACTGACACAGCGCGCACGCAGCCAGGTGCAAAGGAGTGTCCCGGCTCCCATCTTTGGCCGCCAAAGCAGCCTCTAGTCGAGGCGGAGATTGGCAGTGCTCTGTGATGGCACGCGCCAGCAGCGACGAGAGCCTGAGAGCCTCAATCCTCAGTCCCTTGTACCCGCTATCAGCCGCTCGAGGCAGCCTTGGCATCAAGCAGCAGCTGCGCCACTCCCGCGCTACCTCTTCCAGCCATCATAAAGCCGCCGCCAGATGCGTTCTGCCTTCTCTCAATACGAAACAAACTCACGGGCCTTCATAGGCAGCGATGTGGAGTGCCGTGTGCAAGCCAGCCAAGTCCTTGCCCGAAGCACGCTAAGAGGCCCCAAGCACAGACCTGCTACAATCACATGCTTTATGTGTAAAGTTAACTCCGTCTAATCAGCGGCAGCCCAGGAGAGGACATCTCCTCTAGCTGCTAGCTTGCTCTCTGAGTCATACTTTGCCGAAGACCCGCTGGTGGAAAAGCAAGTTGAAGCCGCCGCATAGCTTTCAAAACGCCCTTCCGGCTCCTTGCTGTTGAGGCTGCTCCTCTTCTTTGCCAGCGCGGCCTGCGCCAGGATTTGGCATTCCGCAACGTATCGTGCACAGGCTATAGCTTGAAATGCGCTGCAAGTTCGAGTCTTTCAAAACCTATGCACGACAGGGAGCTTAGGTCAACCCAAAGACACCCGGCTTGCTACTTGGTATAGCCAGAGCTAGTCAACCACCGGGCCTTGGCTAAGTTGACCTCGTCGTTTCGCGCCGCCTGGTGCAGCTGCCTTCAGAGCTAGCAACACCCTCCATAAGGCCAGAATGTGCGAGAAGACTGGACATGCACAGGTCTTCCTGTCGAAGTTGCCAGCAGCTGCGCCGCATGCACTTCCCATCTTCGAAGACACGAAAGTTACTACCACGACACATTCGGTCAGCTCTTGTGCTGTGTTCTGCTGCTTCTTGCATCCTTGAATATTAATTATGTCTCAGGAATTTCGCTCGGCTGCGTTTCGAGACTCGTTCCGATGTCCGACATTTGCCTCTCTGCGCTGAAGTCTGAGAGCCGAAGTCGGAAATGCTTTGCTGTGCTTCCCGGGCTTCTTCACTGGACGTTTCGGGATGTTTCGGGAACGTGCTCACGAGATCCCGTATTTCGATGAACACATGGGAAGACTGAACTGAAACCGTATCCCCAACCTTATCAGCATTTCTGACGGATTGGTGTTAGCTAGAGCCTTAACGGACATCGAGAGGCTTTTGGTAGGCCTCTTGGCATGAAAGAAGGTAGGTTGCTTGCAGCAGGTTTTTCCGCAAGGGTGCTGGCTTGCGAGAAGGTCAGAGGCTGTAGCCTCGTCTGCATGGCCTACTTGTACAAGCACGGACGGCCAAAGGAATAAACGAATTTCCAGGCCTTGGGCACCCTAAAGCCAAAGCCAAAAGGCAAAGATGTGTCCAGCAGTGGGCATCGGACGGCTGGGCTTGGCTCAAAAGACAGAGCGGGGAGAGTCGGCAAAGTTTCTCTTCTGCTCAGACTCTCGCAGGAGTGAAACACCTCGGAGTCAGCAGAAGGGCACGGGTGACAGCTGCCGCTGGCGCTGAACGCAGATTCTCCCTTTGGCCGCCTGCTCGCAGGCGTCAACTTTGGCGGATGCCCTGCCAAGGCCTGCTGATGGAACTCTCGCAAGGCTCCCCTGTAGCGTAGCTCCCTGTAGTGCTTCAGAGCGTCGGTGCAGGGACGGACACCCGCGGGCCCGGACCTGATCTCACTGTGGACAAGGTCAAGATTGACAGACAAGTTTATCTAACAGAATCTAACAACTCACACTACCTGCGTGGGACTTCTCGGGCACACACTGAGCTGGAATTGGTGCGGACGCATTTCCTGCTCAAACACTGAAGCGCGTGTCCGCTGAATGCACTATGTGCTATGTGCCAGACGAGACCGAACCGTCTGTAAAACAACACTCTATTTTGGGGCTAACAGGAAAGCAGCAGATGCAGCGGCGCACCGAAGCATTTGTGAAGCGCTCGATTCCTCCGCCTTGCCAATCCAAGTTCCACCAACAACAAACCGGGCAGCCACGAAAATTCAATGGCCCTGCATGTGGTGAGAGTTGGTTGTTCCAACACTGACTTGCACGTCCTGCTGCACCTGCTCGGCGGGGAAACTACACTAGCAGCTTGTTCGATGCCGAGCAGCCCATTCTGGGGCCGCCAGAAACAATGATCTGGCATGATGGTCAGACACGCAGACTAGACTCTAGTCCATTCTGCGCTGAAGGGGTCTTATCTGTGCCTTCGGCGGAGGCGCCAATGGGGCTACGTGGCCCAGCAGCTGGGATCTCTGGGCCTCTATTTCCTGGCGCTGACTTGCAATGACATGTCTCCAGGCAATTGCGATTGGAGCATTGGCTGCCAGTAGCAAGCGCAGTGGGATCGAAGGGCCTTCAACAAGTTGTTGAAACCAGAGTTGCCTCCACGGGGCATTCACAAGTAGGCTATGGGTCCTCCCGACTCTCCCCCGCCGCTGCCAAGGTGCTCATGGGATGTTGTCCCTGATAGTGACGTTCCACGAGGTTCTGGTCGCGAAAATATCGGACGGCCTTGCTGAGCTACACAGGTCGTCAACGATACATGGAATTCGTCTGGGTCTTGGGAGTTGCCAAGATTTCCGGCTGGCGGCGAGTGAAAAGCAAACCATGTGGACAGCATGCGAGCATGTGTCTTACGGAGAGGATGGGGCTCTGTGATGCAGGCAGCCAGGCAAATCAGTACAAATATGGGGCCGCCACCACACGCCACCACTATTGTCGAGAACGACATCACTCGATGCCACCGCAAACAGCATTGACTGCCGCAAGTAAGCTACCCCAACACGATCTCCAAAACTGCTGCCACGCCCACAGCTCTGCCACGTTCTGCATCACTGCCCGCTTGACCACTTAAACCACCACCGCCAGCACCAGCACCAGCACCAGCACCACCACTACTTCTCGTCCACCACTCTCCCAACACGGGTGTACTAGTCTCTTTCATCGGTGTTCATTGTTTAAAGTGTTTTTGCCCGATAACAGTTTGCTGTCAAGCAAGCATGCAGCATTCCTGTCTTCCCTACCTAAGATGCATACAGGCACATGCAGGCTCTCTGCTGCGGCTGTAAGATTGCCACAACTGAAAGGAGTACAACAGCCGCAAAGGCTTCAGGGCCTGCGTCGACACAATTAGACTAGGCTTGAGAAGTTCTTGCAGCACAGCACATCGTCTCTGGTCATACGACCAGGGAAACAATGCTGTTGCACGACACGGAAGCATCTAAAGCTTAAGTCAATAGTCAACGTAGGCTAATAGTCCAGCAAAGCATTTGGCTCCGACATCTTCTGTAATCGACTCTACTCTACGTTTGATGGACTTTTGCCACCATCGTTGATGGTCCTCGCCTTTGTACGAGCGTTGCGTGTTTCGGGGGGCCAACTGTCCAACACCAGGTCTGCACCCTGCGTGAGGTAACAGCCTTTGGTGGGCATCGTGGCCGTTGTCGTCCTCGTTTTCTTCTGTGCAGAGCAGTTGCCAGCCTGCAAGAGATCGTCGATGCAAGAAACCAGCTGCAGCAACAGCACTAGGCTCGAGAAGGCATCAAAGACAAACAGGTGCACAACAAGGAGCGTCCACGGCACGACTCAAATCTTCGACCCAAGAGTTGCAGCGTGTAACAAAACCGACAGGAAAGGTTGCCCGATGCATTATTCAAATCTATCGGAATCTCTGGGTTGCTTCCACTGTTTCTCCTCGCGGTCTGAGGACACTACTTGCCGTTAAAGACTGACAAGCTACATTCGCACAAAACAAAACCGAAGTCGCTGAGAGCGCAACATCTTCCGCAGACCACCCCAAATACAGGACCTTGCCAAGCGGCTCACCAGAACAAGAGAACAAGGCACTCATCGTGGCTATGGAGTGCCGAGACGCAGCAAAAGCGCAGCAAATAGAACCGGATCGATTCTGGCCCCACTCGCCTCGGGTCTGCATCATCGCCGGCTCGCATCACAAAATCTATCACCATCCGTCAAAAGAAGAACGGTCGCTGTGACTCGCATGCCAGAAGCATCCAGAAGCCAAGAGTCAGTGAACCAGGGTTCGCTGCTGAGCAGCAACAGCCTCCCGCGCAGAGCAGAGTTGAAAGTGTCCTGCAACGTGTAAACTCCCAAAGTACCTGTCGAACCAACGCCGCGCCCTCTAGAATCAGCTTCTTGGCATGGGCCAAAGCCTCGCAAGCTCCAAGGGGTGGCAAACAAAGGAAACAGTCACCCCCCGCACCCGACTTCGCAATCTGATTCATGCTAGCAAGAAACAGACTCTGACTCGTGACCGTGCTGGTCATCCTGATCTGCAGGCATGCCAGTGGAAGGCTGACGTATATCGACCTGCTTGACTCGACGGTCTAAGCGTCGAGCGAAAAACACCTTATGTGTCGACAGCTGCGGATTGGGTTTGCCATCCACATTTCTGGGAATCACCTCGGCTGGCATCACCATAACTGGTGAGGCTGGGATGTACAACCAACTCGCCCTATGGACTTGTTGCAGTGGGGTTTCGACATGACTTCAGCTATCGGCATGACACATGGGCTTCTGGCTTCCAGTGACCAAGCTCGGCACGGTCGAGATAACCTGTGCAAAATTGCCATGAGCGGCACTGTACCTGACGTGAATAGTTTCAACAAACTGGCTCACTGGCTCTTCACTTCATGTGATCACTCAGTCTCACTCACCACGAAGTTTCAGGCACGCTGATCTGGCTATACAAAGCTGAATGCAGCTGAAGGACTGGTTTCCGCAAGACCTTAGAACAAACAACCCATGCGACTCGGTCTGCCAGCTTTAGATCGCCATGTCCGTGCCACCAGCAGGACCAATCAGGTCTTACTTCTCAGAACCTAAACGCCAAACTTTTTCGACTTCTCGTTTCATGCACGACAAGCCCGGAGCCAGGAGGCGCTTCACTGCTTCATGTTCCCAGGCAATTCGCGGCCCAGTGGCAAAAAAGGACTCATCTTTGGGAGCGGGGCATAGCCCGGTACATCCTGCAGTCTCTCTTCGATGCATAGCCCAAGAAATGTCGACCCTGGGAGTCCTCGCAGCCTGGAGGTAACTCCTCATGGCCGCTGGAATCCTGGAAGGCCACGCACAAGTTTCAAAAGGACCTGACTGTGGCCATGCAAAGGGTGCGGTCCTCGGACATTTCGCACCCACAAGCTTCTAGGAAAGACGTCATGATACGGCTTTCTACAGGTACGGCGCCGACAAAAAGCGCCCAGCCTCACTGCTTTTTCTTTCACATGCATGTTTGATTACTTCAACAACGGGCAGTTGTGAAAACGTACCAAGATGGGGGCTTCGCGTCCTTGCATTGAGCTTGGCTCGTGCACCTGGTCTCTCCTACTCCGCTAGAGTTCTGTGCAGACGTGGCGACTGCGCACAGGCGCAAAGGTTGAACCGATAACTGGCGCGAGCCTGCCTAGAATTTCATGGATCACTGCTCGACCCCAGCCTCGCCAGGATTTGGGTTCTTTTGTCTGCAAGCCCACTGGAAAATGAGTGCTCAGGATTGACGAAAACATAGCCCTGCGGCGCAGGGCTTCACAGGCGGGGAATCGTATGAGCCAGCCCCGGCTGACTGCCCAGACGCCTTGGAAATGGCATGCTTTTTGGGCTGATGACAAGGCTTCGGCTTGCAAATCAGGTGAGGGTTCCTCTGTCCAAAAGATCTCCTGAGTTTGAAAGACTTCCGAGAACGTCGCGTGTGCTAGAGTGTATATATACGTATAGCATGCCATAGCTACCACGAGGAGCCCCCAAGCAGTAAATTTGGTAGCAGTTAAAGCTTCTGTGTTATGGAATCTCGCGTGACCTCAAGTCTACTGAGCATACTGATCCGTATGGTCTCCGCGTTAATAGGCTTTGACAACGCCTAACGGCAACTCCCCGCCATAAAGCTGCTCACTTCCGATGATGGGTTCACGTCACTTGAACCCGTCATCGGTTCGTCAATCGATCTGTCTCGTGAGACCTCGGAAGCAGTGTCGGGGAGGTGGACATGACGTCGGTGTGGGCTGGCACTCTGACGTCTCATTTATTCTAGGATGGCCTAGTCAGAAGCGTCTCCTCTCGGTTGTTCTGTCCGGGCCTCGGCTCGCCGCGCGGATGAGCGAAGTCGTAGGAGGACCTCGATTAGGGCAAAGGGAGACTCAGCAGAGCGAAAACACGAACTCCATGGTGTCATATGACTGTCCGCCGAAGGTTGAAATAAGAAAATAGACAATCACAAGACGATCAAAACGGAACGGAGTTGCTCAAACTGGATGTGTGACACGAGACGGCCGTCGAGAGCCCCTCCGAATGGCTGTGCATGCTCTCAGCACAAGTCATGCTGTCTAAGCCGTCCCTCTCAAGTGTCCCTCTAAAGGAAATCTGCATGCAGCCAGACCATCCACCTGAAAAAGGGGTTCAAATCAAGACTAGACTAGATCCCGGATTCCCATACTGAAGAGCAAATCCAACAACGCAGAATGCCAGATGCCCAAGGTTCGAGCCATCTTTGGAATCGGGGTCTTGGCGATGACCTGTCCGTGATCCTATTTTTAGGCCTCATCAAAAAATACACTTCGAAGAAAATCAGGCCTGGACCGCGGAGCGTCGGCCAGTGGTGAGGAGCGACCAGGACCAGGCAAGTCCAAGTCAGCCGGAGCATCTGCCTCCCGAGGAACGGGTTGGGAGAATCTCCTCTCCGCCTGCTCTTTGCCTCCAGGACATGACGGTACTGAGACGTTTGTGGACCCTTGCAGCTATCTTTCCCCATTCGAGCGCTCCTCTTCAAAGAAGCACTTGTCTTCCTGCAGTCAAGATTACAAGCGAACCCTGCACCCTGTTTGAGATGGCCACTGACTGACTGGCCTTCCATCGCTCCATGATAATCTGCGAGCCTGCAATCGCTACGACTACCAGAAGGCACAGCAAGTGCACCACATAGTAGTAC